TGGCAATGGGATAATGGAAACCAGCTCTGGGCCAAGGTGATTTGGCTTCCCAACAGCTCAGTTCTAAGTTCCAGAGTGTGCTGTCCCTTGACTTGATTCCTACAGGGCTCCCATCTGCGGCTTACACATGCAGTTAGGAATTTAGATCACCTACTCTCCTCGAAAGGAGGATTTGGATATGGATCCTTAAGAAAGATGAGAAACCAAAATGGAGTTTTTTGAGGGCAGTGCTGCAGAGAGGTTAAAGAGCTCCCGGCCACAGTCCTTCAACATCCTCACTGGGGTACAGTTTCCATGTGAAGAGACTTGGCTTCTCCTGGTGCTGTAGAGGCATCATTTTTCCCTTGCTCTCACATACTTTCCACAGAGTGTCCCCTGGGGACCTGTCCATGTCATCTAAGATGTCCCTTCTGCCTGAAAGTGGCTGGGAAGGTGGTGGCATAAGACAGTTGGAAAAGAGAAGGTCAATGGCTCTCTCTTTCCCACAATCTTCTGCCAAATCCTGTCTCCTTCTGTGACTTGTGACCATGTATGTCTGGGATCCTCCTCCTCCTGTGATGCCCCACTGCCCACACCATGACGTGTACATGCCTTACCATGACTGTCAAGCTCTAACTTTTCAACCTCATTTCCCTCCTGTGTCTGATGCCCCAGCCCCTCAAACTTTTCATAGCCCTCCAGACAACATGCTTTTCATGCATGCTTCCCGACTTGGCTCATGCTTTCATGCTTTCCCCCTTCCCATCATCTACATTGCTTTCCTCACCTCGGCCTCCTGGGAAAATCCTAGTAATCTTTTGATCTCCTGTGTGATGTTAGAGCAAAGTTAGTAGTTCCCACCTCTAGGCTTCTCCCACATCTTTTACGTTATTATATCATTTGTCACATTGCATGATTATTATTTCCGTAGTTTATCTCCTCACCAGGCTGTGAGATTCTGGGCCAAGAATCACATTGTTTTTTAAAAATATTTTTTAACGTTTATTTATCCTTGAGAGACAGAGCATGAGCAGGGGAGGGGCAGAGAGAGGGGGAGACACAGAATCCGAAGCAGGCTCCAGGCTCTGAGCTGTCAGCACAGAGATCGACGTGGGGCTCGAACCCACGAACCGTGAGATCATGACCTGCGCCGAAGTCGGACGCTCAACCGACTGGGCCACCCAGGCACCCCAGGAATCACATTTTATTCACGTTGTATCTCTTGGCCCTATCCATTAAGCATGACACTATAAAAGTGCCCAAAAATATGTGTTGAGTGAGTTAATAGTTGAATAAATAAATATTTGAATGCACTAACACTTCACTGACTTGCTTGACAATGCCTCCTTGCAATGGCCTTCACTTCCAGGCATTTTCTGCACAACTTTGTTCTTTCACTCAATAATCACTAATCTGCGAACTCCGGGAAGGCAGAGATCATGAGATGACCCTTTTGATCATAACTTCATCTTCAGTGAACAAAGCACACTTGTTCCACAATCTGCACTTGGCATATGCTAGTTGAATGGAATCAAATTAATTAGGCATTGCTATAAAGTGGGCACTGGGCTAGGTCCTGGGAATACCATGGTGAAGGCAGACAAGGCCTGGCCTCATGGAGTTTGTATCCTAGTGACTTGTACCTTTTGGAATGTTTATGGGGGTTTAAGGTAGGGTTGAGCTGTAGCACACGGTTGGGCACAGTGACTTTGCTTTCTTAGCACTTGTCTTATTGGCTTGGCATCCAGACAATTCTGAGGGAGGCCATTCAACCATAGGAGGCTGCAGAAAGTTGGGGCACTTTGCTAATAAGAATCACAAGAAGTATCCCGGTTGTGGGCCCCCAACAAGCCACAGGGCAGGAATGTCATCTCTTCGGCTCCCTGGCTGCCCAAAGGTGACACAGCAAATGCATACAATTTTGCATGCCAAGCAGAAATAGGAAGTACATGCTTCTTTCAGGAAAGTCACACCCACCACATCTTGGGCTGGCATTCCTGTACTACATGAATCCTGGCTGAGCTCATGGAGAGCTGCATGGATTGGCTTCCGTAGCCCCATGCCCCAATCTGAACACAAGGCCATCACTCTTCCTGGAGGGGAAGCAGCTGCCTGGAGCCCAGCACTTCTGGCTCTACCTGGACCCCAGTCATGATTCCTGCCACAGCAGAGGCTTTTGAGGTCCTTGTGACAACCCTAGGCAGGCCCAGGAGAGTCAGGGTGAGCCTCTAAGTGACAGATATCCTCAACATGTGCCACTGTTTGGGTTGAGAGCCACACAGTGTGGACCAGGGCTCATCAGGTCATCCTGCCAGTGTGGCTGCGGCTTCCAGAAGTGATGAAAGTCACATGGTGCATCCTGTATGCAAAGCCAAGGAAGAGACGTTGTATAAGCAGTAAAATGAGCTGCCAACACACTCACAACTTCAGAGAGAAGGTGTTGGCACATTTTATAACCCTACCCCTCACCCCACCAGTGATGTAGTTTTTCGAAATGTCAAAGCAAATTCCTCTAGTGCTAGTGGGAATAAAAAGCAATCCACTTCTGATGTTTGGGTGATTGCATTTCAACAAATCATATGTCAACTGACAAACTCTCCTTGGATGGTCTGCATAGCTTTGCCTTCATAATAAGAAGCCATAGCCGCTGCATGTGTTAAAACAAAAGCCGTCAGCTCAGGAACCTATAATACCAAAGGACGGATTCAACACCAGAGCTTCTCAGGTAGTCGTCTCTCAAATCATCTGGGGATGCAAGGCTTAGGCTGTGAAATACGGCTTGCTTTCAAACGAATAAAGAACTTACAATGTTTAAAGACCTTCAGAAATCCATGGCCATCCAGCATAGTGAGCAGGGGAAATAAAATGTCACAGGTAGATTTAAAACTTAGTTTCAGTCAGCATTTTCAACTTCTCCTGTCCCTGAATCCTTTCTCCATCTCTAAGCAATAAAAAAATACTTTTTCCCCCCAGAGATGCTTATAGATGGCATTTCGTCTCCTCTTCCCACTTACAGAGGGACCAGGGCATAAAGACAAGGTGGAAGGAAGAAGGGAGAAAGTAAGGTCTGGACAATTGACAGAGTGGTTAGCCCTCACTTAGGGGCAAGGATATGCGAGATATGCTGACGCCCCAGCGTGCCAGGGAGGAGGGAGCATGACAGCCCAGGTACGAGGGGTAAGAATACAAGGCAAACTGTGTAGAGCTCCACGTTCCAGGCACGGTCTGCTTTGAATTCCCAGGGATGCCCTCTGTGCCTCTGATAGCTCTTCTAGCTAACACTTCGTGATACTGCGACTTACGATAAGAAATAGGTATTCGGTCTCTGTCCCCACTTCTGGCAGATAGCTCCTAAAACCCTTGGAATTCCCTAAGTGCTGAGAGCATGGGAGGTGTCTGAAGTTGGTGGGGGGGCATGAAGACCGGGCTTGTGGGACTGAGCCTGTAACCTGTGGATCTGATGCTATCCCCGGGTAGATGGGCCAGGATTGAGCTGAATTGTAGGACACCAGCTGGTGTCAGGGAATTGATTGTTGATGTGGGAACCAGCGCCCTCCCAGAGTTAGGTGAAGAGTCATTATACTTCCTCCCATAAAAGAGAGCTAGAGGGGTGCCTGGGTGGCTCAGTCAGTTAAGCATCTGCTTTCGGTTCAGGTCATGATCTCATGATTCATGAGTTGGAGCCCCACATCGGGCTTTCTGATGTCAGTACAGAGCGCGCTTCAGATCCTTTGTGCTCCTCTTTCTCTGCCCCTGCCCCACTATGTCTCTCTCTCTCTATCTTAAAAATAAATAAACTTAAAAAAAAGAAAACTAGAGGGAAGAAACAGAAACAAAAACCAAAGTAAAAAAGGTTTCTAAAAGGGAGGAAGAGAGGGAGGGAGGAAATTCTTCTATCTCTATCATGGCTTAACTTGTAGAGAGAGCAGAAGTCTAAAGAACTACCACAAACTGATTTTAGTGTGAAAAGAATCAAGGGTAGGGTTGGTGGGGAGAGGATAGCAATCTGAAGCAGGGTTTTGAATAGCTCATTTTGTACATTTCACTTACAAAATACACATTTATTCTTCTGTCCCATCCAACAGCTATGATGCACCTAGAACAGTAACAGAGTAGTGGTACATCTCAATACTTGAGCTTATCATCTCTTTACTTTTTGCAAGCAATCAATACTGTGGTTTAATTTTGCCATGTCTATATGATAAATGGAGAGAGCAAGATAAAATGTGATTTGATAAATTAGGGTCAGCGTTTTCACTGCTACTTAAGGGATCTATAATTTCCGAGGTCTATGGATGCTACTCCAGGAGCAGTTGCCCTTCTGAAGGTTAAGTGAGCCTAAGAGCTCGGTTGAAACATGGAGGCAAGGGCACAAACAGAAACCAGTCGGGAATTGTTTTCACTCTTTTTGTGTTCAGGAGAGAATTTATTGGATTTTTATTCCTGGCCTTGTGGCTGCTGAATTTAATTACTCTGGTAATCTAGTCTGTGATTTATTCTTCAAGAAAGCATTTGGTGGAGAGATGCAGTGCTCCCTATCTCTACCTCTAAATAGTCATCAAAATGTGCAGAGAATTGCTTCCAATATTCTAGAAGAGCCTAGTTGCCTAAATTACCATCAGGGAGCAACCAGGGTCTTCGGGAATGCTTTGACATATTTCCTTCTGGAAAATTCCCTTCATTGTCTTGGTGTCCTCCTCCAGCATAGATTTTGTATCAAAAAGATGCATCCCCCTCTTACATCCAAGCTGAATATAACTTACTTCTTTTGGTTCACCTCCAAGTAGGTACAATCACAGACTTCACTTTGCTTTTCATCTAGAAAGATAACATTGTCACCTTCTATTAGACATTCTTCTTTATTAGTCCTTAAATCAGTTTACACATGTTGTCTCAATTCAATGATTATTGGGGAAAACTTGCGTACTTTCTAGTTTTCAGACCACAGTTAGGTGTCTTTCAAACCACCAAAGCCCTGCTGGTTTCCTGCACCCCCCCCCCCCCCCCGCATTGCCCTAAAATGCTGGTTCTGCCCTTGCTCAGCTTTGGGAAGAAGCTCGCCTTCTCCTGACAGGACCCTACACGGTGCCCGGCTCCTCCTGAGTGAGGAGACAAGTGAACACAGGCAGGTCAAAAGCAGAACTTGGAATCACAAACTCATTACTTTGAGTGATTTTTGTCTTTTTTTACTTTGGATTCTTTTATATTCTCTGGTAGTTGAAAAGCTTTTGCCTCTTATCTTCCTCATGGAAAGTCAACAGGCCAGAATTGTGGAAATTCGACCAAAATCAGGTACAGCACATGAACAAGTGGAAAAGTGGCCTTGGAAAAAAAAGTCACTAACACACAAAACAGACTAGCTTTTAGTTTGCTCACCCATATTTTGACTTATGTGATGTTTAAAATGTTTAGAAAAGCTAAGCTCTTTTAAGAACGCAGATAAACATACCGGGTGATGAAGGAGCAGGTGCACAAGGCTTAGCTGGGAGCACATACATTCATGTAAAGTACATCTCTCCTCAGTAGAAGTTTAAAGTCATTGGTAAAATGAAGGGCCAGAGAAAAAGAATGTAGGATTGTCACGTGCACCCTAGATCCCATCTCATTTGTTTCTTCTACCTTGACAACAAATGCCCAATCTTGCATCATTATGTTATGGGGAGCCTTGGTAGGAAGCGACTTGCCATGTTTCAGTGTGTGCAGACAATGTCCGCTGTTGTAGCTCCATATCTTCAGACAGCCGTCTCTGCCCCCAGTGACTAGCCTAGGAAACAGTCTTCTGTTAGGAAATCATGTCAGGGAGCTCACCGCCTAATGGCTGAAGCTACTGGAGAAGACACATACCTTCTTCCACTGGAGTCAAAGGTCAGAATGTGATTCCAACATTGCCATGAGCCCCAGTAAATCCAGAAACAGCCTTCCTGTTTCAAAGTCCCATACTTTTACCACCTGTATCCGGAAGTTGAAAAAAAAAAAAAGTGACCTTGAGATACTGGCTATCAAATTAAAGGGAATTTGCATTCAGAAGTCTAGTGCCACAGATGTGTAAGATGAAAACTTACCCTGAATGTATCTTTACTTCCAATACAAGTTGGCTTACCTTGGTATATTCATTTGCTGGGCTGTATTATAAAATACCACAGAACAGGGGGATTAAATAATACACATTTAGTTTCTCACAGCTCTTGGGGCTGGAAGTCCAAGATCAAATTGTTTGCAGGTTTGGTTTCTTTTGAGGCGTCTCTTCCTGGCTTGCAAATGGCCACCTTCTCATTGTGTCCTCACATGGTCTTTCCCCTGTGTATGCACACCCAGGGTTTCCTTATGTGTCCAAATTTTCTCTTGTTATACGGACACCAGTCAGATTGGCTCAGGACCCACCCTAATATCCTCATTTTAACTTAATCCCCTCTTTAAAGGCTCTATCTCTGCATGCAGTCACATTCTGAGCTGCTGGGATTGGGCCTTCAACATAGGAATATCCGGGAAACAAAATTCATCCCATAACACTCAGCGAGAAGATTAGAAAATTTAGAAATCTTTGGGTAAAAATCTCCTGACTACCAAGGCTCAGAGAAATAGGTGTGGATTGAATTCTGAGCAGCAAAATTTATTCAGCACCAAGGCGAAGCTGAGTGAGGAAGACAGCCTGTTTGGGGAGAAGGATATATCTTCTAAACCCTCAGCTTTCAGGTTTCACTCAGTCTAACTAGTTTGAGTCTTGGAGTGGCTTTCTTTCTGCCCCATTCCTTGAGCAACCTTTGAATGAGAATCATCTGTCAAGGGAGATGAATGTCAGCTTTCATGACCGGTTGAGGTAAGTGCCTACCCCAAGGAGGGCTTCCTCTGGGGCAGGCTTTCTGGAGCCTGTACCCAAAGGCATGGTGGTGTGGGAGGAGAAATGCTTGAGGACAACACTCTGTCTCAGAACCACTGAATGTTCCTATTAATCTTCCACTTTGTAAAAGAGGCTATTCCATCGACATAGAGAAATTTCCAGGTCTCCAACCCAGAAACCAGAAGGCATCCTCTCACTGGTGTTGATTTAAATGCCTAAGAGCAGGTTTTTAGTAATGTACACTTTGCTTCCTGCCCCTCTGTCCTTTTACAACGCCAGGGCTCGTGGGGTTGGGAAGGAGGGCGGGGTGTGTCTATAGCTCCGGAGCATCCATTTGTTCCCCTTAATATTGCAATAGACCCTTAGCATTACTGGGTATTACTTTAATTATTCCAACCTTTGCAAACATCCCGAAGTTTCACAACATGCGTGACTTGTAATACGGTCAAGGTCCAGAAAGGAATGTGGTACCTGTTGGCATGGAAGAATGAGCAGAGGGCGCTGAGTGGGGCAGATAGCCCGGGATTGACACAGAGCGGGAGGCAACCTCCCTGTGGACCTGCCTTCTGGTTAAGTGGTTAAACAGTCACACATTCGCTTCCTTAAAAAGAAATTCCCCCAACACCACCACCCGCTACTGCCAGTTACGGTTACGGGAGCAAAAAGATTGAAGTGAGCAATTACAATATCTTTAAAAACGACTTAGGGTTCTATTTATAGAATCAAGAAAAGTCTAGGGATGCCTGGGAGGCTCAGTTGGTAAAGCATCCAACTCTTGATCTCGGCTCAAGTCATGATCTCACGGTTCATGGGATAGAGGCCTGTGTCGGGCTCTGTGCTGACAGTGCGGAGCTGGCTTGGGATTCTCCCTCTCCCTCTCTCTCTGGCCCTCTTGCTCTCTCTCTCACTCTTAAAATAAATAAATAAAAACTTAAAAAATATATATATATAAAAGAATCCAAAAAAGTCTAAAGGTGCTACTTACACTTTTTAGGTGCATTTTGTAGAGGGAATTTCAAGCCTTAGCTGGGCCTAAGAACCTCTTTGCCCCAAGTGATTCTTGCTTTTGGAGTTCTCATTCAATTAAACATATTAAACTGCAACCACATCCCAAATTAAATATAATTTTGCTATTAATGTTAAAATCTTTGTAAAATATCTACAGTTTTAAGCTCTGTTGATAAAAAAATTCATTATTCGTAACAGGTACGAAGGTAGGTATATAACCTACCTGTATATGTGTAGGTTGCAGTTCCTATGTAACACATTGCAAACATTTAATTGAATATTTATTAGTTTACACTGTGCCATTTTCAAGCATTTTCAGAGGCATTGAAAGTCGGTGGCCCCTAGCACTTTGCTACGCAACTCAATGAGTAATGTGTGGCATACAGGTATTCATAACTTCAGGATCGTGAAAATCTTGGGCTATGTTCTCTCCTTCACAAATAAAGACTGCAGTGTGGCTTAGATGCTATGGATCGTGACAGTGGGCATAGATTTCACACAGATCTGCGGGATGAGCAAATACTCAGATCAATAATTCAATTCAGTAAGTGTCTGGGAGTTTATTACCAGCATGTGCTTAATACAGTAAGAGTTGACAGAGTATTTATATCTCAATTCAACATCTCCTTACCACCCACAGGCAGGGAAGATATGCATATCAAAAGTAATGCTATTGAAGGAGGCTGACTGTTAGCACAGAATTAGGAGCCCAAATGCTAATGGAGCCCTTCATTCTGCCTGGATGTGGGAGGGATCTAGAAACTTTTCTCAGAGGAGGTGATATCCGAGTTGTGCGTTGAAGAATAAGAAGGGTTTTGACAGATTAAGAGGAAAGAAGGGGGAAACATAGATGAGGTGCTAGTTGCCCTAACTGCCTGCTGAATTGTTAGAAAGGCGAGGCTCATGCCTGGGAAATAGAGCAGGATGGGTGAGGACTGAATCTACACCACATGGGTGAGGACTGAATCTACAGGAAGAGGGAGATGCTTGTGTGAGTCCAGAGCAGTGAAGACACGTTTTGTGGAGGAGACAGGACTTGAGTTGGACCTTGAAGGGTTGCTAAGGTGTGTGTAGGAAAAGAGGAAGAAGCAGGAAATTCCAGGGTGGAGATGGGAAAAAGTTGGACAGAGCCAGGAACAGGCATGTGCAGGATGCTGAGACCAGAAGGTTGGCGTCCTTGGAGTCGCAGGTGATTCTGAAAGATCTGGAGGACAAATGCTTCTATATAAGTATGAACCCAAATTAGACAAGAACCTACCTTCTTTGAGATGAGTTGAGACTGAGTCATCATAACAAATTTTTGATCAACAGGCCAAGTAATCTGTTTCATTTAATACTTAATAAACCCACGGTGATGACTAATTTCTAGAGTAGGAACTGGCAAGAACACATGCAAAGACAGCCGAATCTCACTGGGAGAGAAGCCGAAATGAGTGTGAACATGAAGATGACACTACCAGACTGTGGTGCTCCCGAGGCTATAAATCCTAAAGACAGGGTGTGCCAGGCAATTGCAGGAAGAAGAAAAGAGGATGCTGCCAGATGGCCTGGGACATGGGCGTGTAATGCCAGAGCCTAGGCCAGTGGTTCGGAAAGTGATTGAACTGATATTTAGGTGATTTCAGAACATTTAAAGTTGAGTGTACTTGGGGTGTGTCCTCCCATTAGCTCAAGGGCAGGAGTACATGAATTATGGGATGTGTGCACTTCTCTACTCCCACTCTTTATGCAAGGAGCATTGGTTGTGTCCCTTCTGTGGGCCAGACACTGTGTCACGCATCCAGGACTGGGCTAGCATGATCCTTGAGAGCCCCAGTGAAAGAGGAAGTAGACATGGAATGCTCCATACCTTCATCCCCAGATTACACTATAGTAGAGTTCTATTAATCATCCTACACCATACAAGAGAACCACCATGAAATAATGCCATCCTTTAGTAACAGATGGCCCTTCCAAAGAGCTCATACTACAAGCCACTGGGGCAACTGTGAGCTCTTCCAGTCAGCTTTCAAAGAAGAGTGTCCAAATAATACTTGATAAGTAGCAGAGTTGAAGAATTCTAGTAGAATTCTTAACTTCCAGGGACGGACTGTCCCCGAAACACTCCACTCAGCTCCAAGGTGAGGACCATGGGGCTAGACTCACACTCACAAACACATCATTGCTAAAGAGAACAAAAGTTGATACTTACAGATGCTTCCGTGCAGCTGACCACTTGCCTGAAGGCCCGGTTGTAGCGGTAGCAAACCGCGGGCTCTTGGTGGGAAACCACCAGGGAAGGCTCCGGGGGAGACCTTACTCATGAAAAACAGAGAGAGGATGAGAACCTGAACCAAGTGTAGGACACGGATACCCGGGATGAGGCATCTATTGCCTTATGGAGAAAGGTTAAGAGGATAGAAATGAGTCTGTGACCTTGGACACGTTTAACTGCTCAAAACTCTTTCTTATCTCTTAAATGGGGGTAATGGCATCTACTTTAAAGGGCTGTTTTGAGGGGCGCCTGGGTGGCGCAGTCGGTTGAGTGTCCGACTTCAGCCAGGTCACGATCTCGCGGTCCGTGAGTTCGAGCCCCTGTTTCCGATTCTGTGTCTCCCTCTCTCTCTGCCCCTCCCCCGTTCATGCTCTGTCTCTCTCTGTCCCAAAAAATAAATAAACGTTGAAAAAAAAAATTTTAAAAAAAAGGGCTGTTTTGAGAATTAGATGAGAAGATTCATATAATGTCATTCCCAAAGACCCTCACATGGCATAATTGGTATTCAATGAGCAGCAGCCACTAATCATGAAAACTGACACCACATGTCTCCTCCTTGGGGCAGGAGGAATGTGATGTCTTTTTTTTTTTTTTTTTTAATTTTTTTTTCAACGTTTATTTATTTTTGGGACAGAGAGAGACAGAGCATGAATGGGGGAGGGGCAGAGAGAGAGGGAGACACAGAATCGGAAACAGGCTCCAGGCTCCGAGCCATCAGCCCAGAGCCTGACGCGGGGCTCGAACTCCCGGACCGCGAGATCGTGACCTGGCTGAAGTCGGACGCTTAACCGACTGCACCACCCAGGCGCCCCAGGAGGAATGTGATTTCATTTAACTATGGACCTTCTTTGCTATTAATTTACATCTTCCCCGCCCCCCCCACCCCCCGCAAATAAATACAAGCTGTATTATCCCGTTCTGAATCTTCAAGCCTGAAGAGCAACACCTTTCATTCAAGCAGGGACAAGGCCCTGCAGTGTGCTTCCCATGGGCAACCAGGGGCCAAGGGCTTACCTGTGTCCTCCAGCCTTGCCCCATGAGCTACCTCTGGGACAACAGCACATAGAACAGACAGTTGTAGGGGTTAAGCAGTCCAACTGTTCAG